TAAACATAACACGTGAACATATAATTTAACAGTCGAACAGATATAAATGCACTTAAACAGTTACAGGCAATCATTCAGTTCAAGATTTCAGTCAATTCAGTCAATTATCATAATCAGTCTCAGTTTAACAGTAATCAGTGGTTTATTAGTAAATAGTGGTGAGGGTTGTCATAGTCTTTAGGCTAGATGGTTCCATGAGAGCTAGCTGATCCCAGAGGCCTGTCATCTCAATGTAGAGGTCTTGAATAGACAGATCCCGTTGACGAGCTCCCTGAATAAATGTTTCCAACTCATACCGTTTGGAAAAATTGGACTGCTAATAAACACTTTGTAAATAATCCCACACCTCTTTGGCAGTGTTGTATTTAGAGAACATCATTCTGATACGGTCATTTACAGAGTTATGGAACTAGGTCAAAACTTGAGCATTATCACAATCCCAAGTGTCACAGGAACTCAAATAGTCTTCTTGTTTGGGATCTGATAGACGAGAAATAGACCCAGAAACATATCCCTATTTTTTTCGACTGAGAAGAAAATTTCTCATAACACTAGACCAATAAGCATAGTTGTCACTTGTAAGCTTGCATTTAATAGCTTGGATTTTATCTTTCGACATTGTAATGAACCAAAAATAAAAGAAAAAGGAAACTGATGGGGCACAGTGATAAAATCCACTAAGGTTGAGGGGTCAACCTCTAATAATCCAAAGTTGAGACAGAAGGGTAAGGTGGACTGAAATCAACACATAGAACAAAATCGAAGGTAGAGAGAGCAAAGCCGAGAGTAAAGGCCAGAGAGAGAGAGCCAACATAGGGGTCACGAGAGAGTGAAATAGATCCCTCAAGCCCAGGCAGACTCGCGACGTCAAACCTAGCACCAAGAGGCAATATCGATTTCGGTGAAGATAGAAAGGGCTGTCGCGACTGTCACGACCCAGAGAAGGCGTCGCGACTGTCACGACCAGAGAAGGCTAGCTTCGATCGATCCAGACAAACCCAGCAAGCAGGAACGAAGAACTTCAAATGATTCGAATGATCAAGGCCAGCCCTAGGGTTCGAATGATTCGAATGATCAAGGCCAGACCTAGGGTTTTGGACGAAGCTTTGATACCAAGTAAGTTTCTGTATTTCTGTATATTCAATTGTATCTTTGATTACAATCAGACCTGAGAATATATAGCCCTAACTCCTAAACCAAAAAGGAAATACAATACGATCATGATTCTAATAGGACTCTAATACAATCATACCTCTAATAAGACTCTAAGTTAATTTGTAAGATTCACAATATATTCTCACAATATTATCTTTCAAAAATAAACACACAAGTATTGGATCTTATTCTTATAACCAATGAGACTCAAAAGTTGAGCCACCATATAATTTTGTCCCGAACCACCATACAACTTTCTTATATAGTTGACGTCTACACTAACAGAATATTCTTTTGCAAAATTTGGAGTGTCTACCATATTATAGTGGCTAAATATCATTGTTTGCCTTCGTTTACAAAGATTATTTTTAAGGTTTTTTTTAAAAACTTTTTAATGTTCTTGATCTAGTTGTATTTAAAAGTTATATATTTGTGAAGAAATTTAGAAAAAAAAAAAATTACAAGAAAAGAAGTGTGCTGATTTTTTTATTTTTTTATTTTTGTTCTGTTTTAAATTTTTTCAGTGAACTTTTTTCACAAATATTTTATTTTTAATTATATTTATAAAAAAAGTGACTAAAATATGGGGAGAAAAAAACACCATAGACAAAAACATAAGAAAATGAAAAATAAAATTGAAATTTGAAAAACAAACATGTTTGTAATACAAAAATCTTGAGCTAGGTACGTAGGGCGTGAGTTGCACACCTTTACAGTTGGCAAATAGCATTAGCAGCAACTTTTTTTTTTTTTTTTTTTTGTTTTTTTGGCTTAGCAACATTTGAAAACGCGTTACAGGCTACAGCTAACTACTAGTCTTAATTTAAATGTTGTGTCTAGTTAACAAAATTTCGTGTCTTCCACTCCATATGTTTATATATATAAGTATATATGATGAAGTCTTCTTTTTTTTTTTTTTGGATACAGATATGATGACGAAGTCTTCAAAAGTTATATAAAATTAAAATTTAAAGCTTTTCTTTCATTCATTCACCTCACAAACAGGGGGCGTGTGTTTGAGAGAGAGAGAGAGGGTGTATCAGAAAAGAAAAAAAAAAAAAAAGCATCTCTAACTACCCAATCATTTGTATAGTAAATTATTCTCAAGTCTTATTACTTTACATTACATTAACATAAAAAAGAGCATCTTTAAACAAATCATCATATATATATCAACTTTAAAATGAGTATAAAAGTATATATATGCTGCCGCCTGCCTACTGGGGGTTGTTTGACATGCTGTCTTTATTAGTTAGGTTAACATGAAAATTGTTTGTAGCTTGCCTTCAATGTTTTTTTAACTCTTTCTTTTTCTTTTTCCCTTTTTTGTTTTTTTATATTTTTTTTTTGAAAAGTGGCCATCATTTTTGTATGGTTTAAACTTTTTTTTTTTAATGTATTTAGTTTCAGTTTTCTCAATTCAATTTTTTAAAAATTTTATTTTTTGTTTTTTATGTTTTTTATTTTTAGTGAATATTTTTAAAATTTTAAACATTTTTTTTTTACTTTTTTAGATGTACCTTACTTCTTTCTCTCATTGATTACATTTTTTTTTTCTTTTTCTTTTTTTTCCTGCTTCTCCAATCACCACCCGCCACGTGACAAAGGAGGTGAGGGGGTGACCCCCAAAAGGGGGTCCCAAGCATTATTCTTTCTCAATTCAATTTTTTAAAAATTTTATTTTTTGTTTTTTATGTTTTTTATTTTTAGTGAATATTTTTAAAATTTTAAACATTTTTTTTTTACTTTTTTAGATGTACCTTACTTAGATGTATCTATAAAGTAAAATATTTGTAAAAAATATTTTAAAAAATTAATAAATATACAAAAATATGAAAAATATACTGAATTTTAGTATTTTTTTATATTTTTGGTATTTAGTGAATTTTTTAAAGATTTTTTTCATGAAAATTATGTTTTTTAAATGCATTTATGTTAGGTGTGTCTAAATTTTTTTAAAAAAATTGCTTAAAATATTAAAAAAAATCAATAAAAACAAAAAAAAAATGAAAAATAAGAAAGTATAATTTTCTGAAAAGTGTTTTCAAAAAACTGAATGTTCGAATGAGGGGAAAATAAAAATTAAGCTCAAGTTATCATTTACATCTTTGTTTGTCTCCAGTTCTAATTTTAACTAGGTCAAGGAGTTTAGTTTGGCTTTGAACTTGTATAGGACAAATTACACTGATGGTTTCTAATTTTTTTTTTATTACTTTTGTTAATTTAGTCTTTATAATTTTAATTATAACCCATTTACCTCTGAATTTTCATTGTCAATTTGGTCTAATCAATAATAAGTTTTAGGATTTTGAATGAAAAGTAATCTCATACTCCTTGTGCACCACTCTAGAAAGGCATTTTAGACATTTTATACCCATCCTTTTTTCAAGTTGGCTCAGCCAAACTCCTGAAATTGGTGACTAATAAGCTCGCTCATGGGATAAGCTCAATGGACTCTTTTCTGGTCAAGGCCAAACACTTTGGGTTCAAGCTCAGTCTAATGGGCTTGGCTTAAACAGGTTGCCTGAGCTAAGTAAGCTGGACAGAAAAACGAGCCTTCAAACCAAATAATAACCCTTAATTAAAACATTCTCTCTCCTCAATTTGTTAGATGAAATAAAAAAATGGAAGAATATAGAAGGAAAATTTTTGTCCAACATATACACATATCTTCATAAAAATAATAATGTTAATGACACTGAATTTTTGTGCAAAATTTGCCTAGGACTTGTGTGACTAGCTCTTGCGATTTGCTCTGCTTGTTGACTTGACGAAATGATGCATGTTTTGATTTTAATAAATTCATCATCTTTACTATAGAAGTAGCAATATATAAACAAAACTTTTCTATGAATTTTTATACAGAATCAACGGGGGGGTTCTTTTTATTTTGGGTTCTCCAATAATGTGCACCTCTTTAGGGTGTATACTATATGTATCGTATAATTTTATCACAAAATTTTATAACATTAATGATAAAATACGTAATCTCGTCACAAATTAGAGTAATAAAATATTTAAAATTTTGTGATTGACATTGGAAAAATTTGTGGCTTGATTACAATATTTTTTTTATGCTAATTTGTAGGAAAATTACGCATTTTGTAATTGATATTATAAAATTTTGTGATAAAATTTCACATTTTGTGATAAGGTGTATATGGTATACACCCCTAAAGGGGTGCACACCATAGCATTTTTCGTAATTTTTTTGTTTGAAAATCATTTTCTCATTTTAATATGTTACTATGATGATGCCTTGTTAAGAAGCTAACAATAACTTTATGCATTCACTTGTGACTTCTCTGTTAAACACAATTTAGCTATTTTATGGTAGCTAATAAATTACCATCATCAATATTCACAATTTAAATGTCTGATACCTTCTTTAGATTTAAATTGTTACACTTTATATTGATCCTTATCTTCATTGTGAAATGAAAGCTTTAGATTTAAATTCTTACATTTTATATTGATCCTTATCTTCGTTGTGAAATGAAAGAACACATGAAGTGCTTGATCTAAACAGGACAAACAAACTTCCTCGCCGTAGACGTACAAAAAATAAGTAGTGTTTTCTAACATTTGTAGAGAACAAACACAAAAACAGCCGGACCAAGTTATTGTTCTACACTTTTCAGTGTTTGTTATTATTGCAACCTTTTATCTTTATTTTATCCATATATATTTTGGGTACAGGACTGGTTTTTTTGTGTTTATAAATTTATTTACGATGAGAAGAGAAGAAAAGAAAAGAAAATTACAAAATATAAAGCATTTCTAATTTTGTTACGGGTTTTAAGAAAAATAACAAAAGAAAATCACCCATAAATAGAAAAACAAAATTGACACAACATTGCTAAGATTAAATTTGTAAACAATGAGAGAACAATAAACATTAATCTTAATACAGTAAAAAAATGAACACGAACAATAATAACAGTAGTGATCATAATCCCCTATCAGACCCTTCCTTCGAAGATCAGCCGATGTAAATTGGGTTAATCCTCACCTTTCAAATCAAATTGGACTCACTTTCTCTCTCTTTCTACGCTTCTAATCATTCATTATTAGTCTGAGAAAAAATTTACATTCAACTGTATATACCCAAATATATATAGACGCTACAATTTTTTTTCACAAGCACAGAATTCGATTATAGAATCGGACACTCTTCTCACATGAGTATTGAGAGACCATGTGAGAAGATTGTGTCCAGTTATATTGATACTATAATTGAATTCTATGGAGGGAAAAAATTTATACGTCTGCGCACAAATATTTATTGAGTTATGGAGTTGTTAAAAATCAAAGTGTTACTGTCCTCTGATCGAATAATCAACAAGCGTAGTAGTCGACCAAGTCGTCGAGAGACTCGGGCTGAGGATCGGCATTCTCGAGCATCCAAAGCAGGTGCTCGAAGAGGACGACCTCGCAGCCAACGGTGAATGAATCGTCGTTGTCGCCGGACCTCTCGACGAGCTCCTGGAAGACGGGGTTGTCAACGACGTCGGAGCCGACGAGGTAGCGACGGCGAGACTTGCCGACGTAGACGGGGTGGAGGTCTCTGGAGATCTTGTCGTTGTTGTTGTTGAAAGAGGAGGAGTACTCATCGTCGGAGGAAGAGTGGGTTGAGGAGGAGGCGGCGGCGACGACGGAGCTGCCGTAGGTGGAGCGGCTGCTGAGCTGCTTGCTGAATGAGTTCCATTTTTTGAGTACTGACTTGAGCTTGGTTAGTTTGCCTCCTTTTGCCATCTTATTGTATATGATTAACCAGTGTGGTTCAAGAGTTGGTTGAGAGACAGAGAGAAGACTTGAAAATGAGAGAGAGAGAGAGAGGGGGATTTGGGTTTGGAGGGGATTGAGAAAAGGGCTGGGAAGGTTCGTATATATAATATAATAGGGGGATGAACAAGGGATGAAAACTGAAAATTGTAAAAAAAAAACTGAACGGTTATGTGGGGTCATCTTCATGTAATGGTCATGGGAAGATTTTGCTCGCATTCAAAGTATTGGATAGAGAACTCACAAATATGAAAAAAAAAATGTAATGCGGATATTTTCTTTGTAATTATTATGCATTATTTGATTCACTATAATGAGATTGAATGAAATTGATTGAATATTTTAAAGGTTTCGTTTGACCTGAGTTATTGATTAAATTAGTTAATAAAGATAAAATAGATAAATTTAATTAATAAGATAAAATATCACATTTAAATTATAATTTATTTATATTATTTTTAAAACTATCAAATTAGCTAAAAAAAAATTATAATTTGTCTCAAATATAATTTTTTTTAATTAGATTAAAATAGCTAAAAAGCATACTAAATTGGCTCATTTCAAACGAGGCCTTAGTCCCTCATATAGAATGACCATTCTCTTAAAATGATAAATGATAATTCTATTTGTAATGCAATTTGTCATTACTTTTTTAGTCAATTAAATATAAAAATAAATATTTTGATGAAATGATCATTCAATTACATTTCATTTTAGTAAATCAAATACTACCCCAAAATAATGGATGCAGAATTCACTAGGAATATTTTGTTTGTAACTTTTAATATGGTCAGGAACTACATTATTATTATTTTTTTGGTAAATTAAACTATTCTTAAGATTTAAAGAAAATGCAACAAGTTTCACATTTTTTGCATAATTATATTAGGATTCTTTGATGTTTCAAGTCACATAACATTTAATTATTTTTTCATCAATAATTCATTAGGCATGTGGATGGAAAAGTGATCATGTCATAATTTTTACCTTCTTTTCCATTGTAACTTCACATTATTTACATTAATTTTAGTCATTTTAATTTTTCTAGATGGGAGGTCAATATAATTAAACCAAAATTATAAAACTACACATATTTTTTCTATAACTTAGAGGAGGTATTTAACTTCTTTTTTTTGAAAAATAAATCTTCCAAAATTATTGATGTGGATCATAATGAATACTAACAAGGATAACAAATATACCCTTAACCTATTGTTTAATATCGAGATTAAAGTAAAAAAATATTAGAATATAATATGATTTTAGAGATATAAATATTTTGAATTCAGTAACTTCTGAAGACATTTGTTAGGATGAGTTTTTTTTTTTTTTTTTTTGTCCCCAAAAAATAGAATAAAAAATCTAGATTTAGAACGTTTTAATAATTGAACCCAAAAATTAAAAATAAAAGGCAAGAACATGCCTACAATTTGCTAGCTTTATGAGCCTACCGATACAAAATTAGTCATTGACTTGGTCTTTTTCTCTATGTATGTGTGTGTGGGGTTTGGTTTGGTTTGGTTTGGTTTGTGGAGGATGAAGAGAAAACCTCAATTAAGAGCCCTATCCATATATTATAAATGAAATTTCATGCAAGTTAAATTTGGCTCTTTCTATAACAAAATTTTTTTATGGGCAAAAATCAGTTGTTAATAATTAGATTACCATTTATGAGAGTTAATCTTCTCACTTTTATAAAGCACTAAGGCCTGTTTGTTTTGGAAAATTGACGAAGGATTGGGATTGAGATAGAGGTAAGACCCACTAAAGAACGTTGGTATTAGAAGTTAGTCCTCCGGCTTAATATTATTTTTTTTTTTACTTTCACATGTTGGGCATTTTTTTTTTTTTTTTGAACATTAATGTTTGATGTTTTTTTTATTTTTTGTTAAGTAAAAATCATAGTTTTATTTGTTTTAATATTTTATATTTCTTTTATAGGATAATAATTTAACAATCTCTACACTAACAACTATCATCAAAACAAATAAAATTTTACTTAATCCTTTCACTATCAATATATTAAATTATTAAAAACTCATTAAAGACAACAAAAAAAAAAAAACAAATAAAACTCGAAAAAATAATTTGTCTCAAAAGCATAGGAGAACAAAGATTTTAAACAGAAAGAATTAGCGCCCATGATTTTGGGGTAGGTAGGCACGTATAAAACTTCATTGACAACCTATCATCCCTAACCTAATAAAAAATTTCAAGTAAATTAAGTTTAAATTTATTTAAATCTATGTAGTTGTTACTTAAATTTCGGTGGTTTGGGACCCATGGCCAGCTTTGATGGCACTCGAGAGTCCAAAATAGGCTAAGAAACTTTTGCTACAAATAGCAGTACCTATTAAATCAAGCGAAGTATATTAATACAAAAATCGATTACATAATTATATACAAAATATATATTCCCGAAACACATTTTTAAAATTTTAAATTACTAATAAATCACATTAAAGACAACAAAAAAAAACAAAAAAAACTCGAAAAAATAATTTGTCTCAAAAGCATAGGAGAACAAAGATTTTGAACAGAAAGAATTTGCGCCCATGATTTTGGGGTAGGTAGGCACGTATAAAACTTCATTGACAACCTATCATCCCTAACCTAATAAAAAATGTCAAGTAAATTAAGTTTAAATTTATTTAAATCTATGTAGTTGTTACTTAAATTTCGGTGGTTTGGGACCCATGGCCAGCTTTGATGGCACTCGAGAGTCCAAAATAGGCTAAGAAACTTTTGCTACAAATAGCAGTACCTATTAAATCAAGCGAAGTATATGAATACAAAAATCGATTGCATAACTATATACAAAATATATATTCACGAAACACGTTTTTTAAATTTTAAATTACTAATAAATCATGTAAAATCTTATCGATTAATGTATATTCGGTATCAAATTTTTTGATCAATTTTTGTGTTCGTAATTATAAGTGAAAAGATGTTAATAATTAAATCAAGAGCTTTTTTTTTTTTTTTTTTTCTTGTGTGTTCACATTCACGTACCAACTAGAGAAATGTAATTGGTTTCTAAACCAAGTCCATGAAAACAACAAATTCATTTGATTTCAATCTACTTTGTTCCACCTTTTAGTATTTTTCAGAAGGAGATGGTTACCGAAAGCGACAGACATGTGCTTGTAGAGTTGCCAAATATTTATATATTGTTATCCAACTTCTTTTATTATTTTATCATCTTCAATGTTTAAATATTTTTTGACAACTGATTAGAAAATTTTAAAAACACTAAGAATAGTAATAGTACTAATAATTTAATTGAGAAATCCTTCGGCGGTAACTAACATCACTATTTTTTCTAGAAACAAAATGGTTTCTAGAGAGAACCGTTTGAGTTTTCAAATTGTGTCATCTCTATAATTGTTTAAATCAAATGTTTAAATTTTGTTAAACCATTAACACATTAAATAGCGGGTCGAGTTTTTTGCTTGAATCTAATATAGGTTTGGAAGTAAATAGACAAAATTTAAACCATTAATGTATAGAACTTGTTCATATGGCAAGCATCTATTGTTCATCAAGCGTCGAGTTCGGAGGGAGGTCGATTCTTTTAGAAAAAGACAAAAACAAAAGGAATAAACTAACCTCACATTGGCAAATTAATAGATGCTGTTTAATTTTATAATGTCAAACCATTTTGTCGTTCTTTTTTTTTTTTCTGTCATTTGGTGTACATTTCTTTAATCAGGGTGTTATAGTCTCTTTGATATGCATTCCAATTCTAATAAATTATTAACAAATTAGTTGATTTGTTCCAATTCAACTCTTTTCGTCTCATAATTTATATAGTTTTCTCAGTTTTTCGGCTACTCACTCACCAACCACAAATTTGTTGATGTATATACAGGCTCAATGTTCTAATGTTGAGAACTTTATTGGTCATCATTATATAATAAACAAATAACTGGAAAAAGTAAGGAAACAAATGAAAGAGCTGGAATTTTGTAATTATAGTGGGTTTTATTATTATTTTTGTTTAAATTAGGAATATGTGGGAGGTAATTTTACATGATTGCACTGCTTGGCCAAGCATGGAAGAGCAAGAGTAAGGCTTGGCTTAGAAATTTGTTATTTTAGTAACTTTTTGATTTTTTATGAAAAGATGTGCAGAAAATTAGAAAGAGAGATATGACAATTTATAATATTTTTTAACTGAAAGTTTAAGTTATCAAATGAGGTCTAAGCATGATGTGCGATCAGGTATTTTGGCCGATCACGGAAGAGCAACACTAAGCATGATATGCAATCATTGTGTCTAGAAGGATGTTGGTCAAGTTTTTGGTCACACATGGAATTTGGAGATGCAAATCTCAAGCATAAGGTGGACCAAATCAAAAGAAAGCCTGCAAATAGTGAGATAATAATGCTCGTCATTTAAAGAAAAATGCAAGACGGGCACAATCCGGCCTTTGGGCAAAGTAACATGGGAGGTGGTTTGCACAAAAAATTTAATGGTAAAAAAGTGGAATGATAGAAAAGAAATTTAAGTTTCCTCATCAATCTGGGTTACACAATCACTTATGGCTCAAGTGTACGTCATATTATGAATTCACTCTGTAAATTGTAATTAGTAAATGGGTTTTGTTGACACTTGTTAGGTATAAATTAACTCACCTTAACTAATTCCGCTATCATAAAAAATTGAATAAGTTATAAATGTTGTATTATTAGAGGGTTTTTGTTAACATGTGCTCTAATATTGTGTTTGGTTGGGGGATTTGACGAGAGATTTGGAAAGAGAAATAGAAAAGGTAGGTGGAATGTGAATAAAACATACCTATATTTCACCTAATTTTACATATTTTTTCTCTTTCTCTTTTCAATTTCATCTCCAAATCTCCTAACCAAACACAATATAAGGGCATAAAGAATGCATTAAATAAGTATAATTACTTCAATTTATATAGGAAGTAAGAGAAGCTTTTCAAGATGTTAGTATTAGTGAATTTTTTGTTTTTACATAGAGACGAAAATACCATCTTTATATTTCCCTTAATTTCATTTATTAATTTGGCTTCTATCATTTTATTTTATTATAATTATATATATAATTTTTAT